GTCTTTCTGAAAAGGAGTTCACGTCGTCGTAGTTTTTTATGTATTTATTTATTTTACATGGGTCAGTGAAACACAAGGTCAGTGTACCCATGTTTGAATAATATCTCTAAAATATTTCTCCTGGTAAATTTGATTATAAACAAAATGACCATAATCCTAGCCTATTTTAAGGTTAAAAAAAGTGCCTTAACCAAGGCTAAGTGTAGCCTGAAACACCTACCATGTGTAAGTGGAGAAACAGCCAAATGTTATAATTTGCTTCAAAACTTATGGATTAACAAAAACATATTCATCAGTGAAATAACATTGTAACCGTGTTGTGATTCAAGTGGCACCTGGATTTTGAAAAATGTGAGCAATCACTAAAACAAATGAGCAAACAATATAATCATCAAAAGATCACTCATTAAAACAACACTTATCATAAACACAAAAATGAGAAAAAAGGACAAGAGGCTCTGCATCAGTGTTCACATGAGCACTTTGTTATTGATATCCATACATGTTGGTAATGTTATAGGAGCACAACATGGTCACATAGAGGAAAGGAGAGCCAAGTGAGCTACAGGTATCGTACAGTATATACAGGTCAGAAATATTTGGAGGATCAAAGCAGATAGAGAGAGGGAGAGAACATTGCACAAACATACATCACCCTCCCAACTCATCCTCTCTTTCACTGGTGTTTACAGTATCTTCTAACAATCTGCATGGAAAAGTAAAACAGTTTAATTCCAGTTTTGCAAGCAACTGGAATGGCACCAACCACTTGTGACTGAGGAACCACTCTTGAATCCCACTAGCAGACGAATTGGTTCAAAAAGGCACTGGACAGCTATTTCTCTCGCAAGCTTTCTCTCTCTCTCTGATATTTACCAGGTGGACTTTAGTGAAAAGCAAAGCGTATTTGGAAGACCAACAGACAAACTTTAAGTGACCAAGATTGACCTAAAGCAGCAGCACTACAATCTAGCTTTTTGTGAGAGCATTTTCTTCTCAAAACACAACGTCCCATTAACAGTAAAATGTACATTTGAATGGTTTTCGTTATTAACTGTTAGCGTTGAAAGCTGTTAATAACAGTCAATAATGTCATTTTCCTTTTGAGAACATGAGAATGCATCATATTTACAGTTACAAATACACAAAATAATGACTAATGCATTTTATAAAGAGAAAATAATATAAATCATAAAACTGTTTCAACAAAAACATACTTTGACAATCATCTATTGTACAGAGTTATTTCGTTAAACTTTTTTAGTTTAGTTTTATACTTTTTATATATTACTTTAAGCAAACGCATATCAGGTGTCATACCAAGGGCCCAAGATTATTTTAAATAAAATTGTTGATCATACTCAACTCCTGAAATAACAATATATAATACATAATACACATTCCCTTCCATAAGGCCTCACCTTGAATTAAATTTAGCACATCAAATGGTCATAAATTAATGCACAATAAGGAATCATTTTACCATCCTTGTCTAAATGTCTTTTTTTTGTCCTCTACTGCAAAAGCAGAGAAAATTATTTGTGGATAATATTTAAGCATTAAAATGTCTGGAAGAACACTTTCACTTGCTGGAGGAAATCATCTCATGAACTGAATGTATTTGAAGGGGAAGGGATTCGCCACCAAACCCCATTAAACTCTTTTTTTGTTCACCATCTATTCAACTACTTACATAAAACTCTATAAATCCATCCCATTCTATCTATACATCCATCCGTTCATCTACAGACTCATCTATCTTAATAAATATATATTCCAAACAGAATCAAAAGCTCCTTGAACCAAATCAAAACAACCAAAAATCTAAACTAGACAAACATTAGACATATCTTCCCTTTCTACTGTATATATATATATTGCACGTTGTGCAAAGGTTGATATATAGGAAGGAATATATCACATTTAAGGTTAAAGATGGAGCTTATTTCAACTCTTTAAATCAGTTAAGTATCAGCAAAAGCAAAACATTTGTGATGCACTCCATCACATGCAGGCAATCTTGCAGGCTGTAAATTGTCCCTTGAAATTGGTGAAAAAAGCTTGAAATGAAGGGACAGAGATTGAGGTGATCGCATTAGTGTATCGATTTACCTGTCAAAGCAGCACAGGCTGGAGAAAACAAATGCCTCTGGACAGGCTGATTTCCCTTGTCCTGTAAGGTTGGGAAAATACTTAGTCTTTTTCAACATGTTAATGAGCTTTAATTCCTGTAGACTTAAAAACCAAGGCTTCCCTTTTCAGTGATTTACTATACAGCTTCATACAGTTCTTTGCACGAACAGTGTGAGAAAGAGATATTTACGAATGACCTCCAGTTTACGCATGACCTCTGAAGGGCACATGCACACACTGTCAGTCACAACACATGAGTTGGTTAACATCTAGATTAGATAAAATCATACAGTATTTAATAAAGACAAGGCATATGTGCCAGTAGTGTCATCTAACAACTTCATTTGGTTTTTTAGTTATTTTTAAAAGGCTATTGACATTTATGATTACAAGCTAAGTTGCAAAGCCCGATGGCCCATTGCAAACAATTTCACTACTCAGTAACTAGATCTACACTTTCTAATCACTGGTTGGCTCAATGCTGTTCATTGAAATAAAGAGGGTGCTTTCACAACAGCAAAGTGTGATGTTTGTGTGTGTGCACTGGTGTATTGGTGTTTACATACACATGCAAGCACATAATGAATCCGTCAGACTCATCCATTGTGCAGCAGATTTTATATTCAGAAAAGCAGTGACCTTCCTCTTTATCCCCAACCGCATCTCACACCTGTCTCTATCGAAGCCTACGAGTTTCAGCGCTCCTGACGGTCCTCAATCAGGGTGACGTATATGATGGGAACCAGGCCCTGGCTGTCGCCCAGAGCACACAGCAGCCAATCAGAGTCTGCCCTGCTGAGCACCTGCAGCACATCACCTTTATGGAAACTGAGCTGCCTTGGCTCTGTGGCTATATGATGGCATAACGCCTTCACTTCACTGAAAGAGACATAAAAAGAAAAAAAGAATAAGAAAATTTTAGTTGAAAGAATTAATCAGGTAAAATAATCAGGAATGGTAGTAACATGTTTTCATTCGCAAATAATTACATTAATATGCTTAGTCAATTATCGCGCTTTGCAAGGCAGCACTTCCTATTCAAACATCAAACATTTCTATTTTTTCCACCAAATTGTTGGTATTAATTAATCTCAAAGTGCTAAACAAACAAATTCAAACTTTGATCATTTCAGCTTTTTTATGTTGTGCAATGTATTTTTGGCTTTTGTTTATATTACACAAGAAATTTAAGATATTTTGAATACCTTATTATTTATTGAAATAATATTACCTAATATTTTGAATATTCCTGACCTACTGACACCATTGACGTCATCTATAAACACCTTTTCATTACAAGGGTAGCACAGAATACAGAATGTGCATTGATGTACAGATGCCACATATATCCATGCATAGGTAACTAAAAACAACAACAATGTTGATTGAACCAAATTTCCTTTACACAGTCTAAAAGTCTAAAACCTAAGCTTACTTAAAACTCTTCTGTCGTTGCCTTGCAAGCACTGGTTTTCTTCTGTAAATGCAAAACCTAGTCATTCTAACTCATCTAACAACATTACCATGGGACTTGTCTCTGTTTTGGGAGATTCTGTGTTTGTGCTTGTTCAGTTGGGCCAAGGTGGGATTCTTGGCTTTGAGACGTGAGAGATTGTTGCTCCGCTCTTTTTCCCACTCCAACAGACTGAGCCACCAGATCCAACATGGAACGGTCGAGACTCAACCAACCAGACGGCAATCTGAGACCAACACGTAGGTAGAAAATTAGCTACAAGTTTATATTAAAAATACATCTGTAAAAAGTGCTGCTAGCAGCTGGCAATGTGTAAAACCAACTCATTCTGAACATTAAGCGATTGAAGTTAGGAGGGAAAATTATGAAACTTGATGAAGTGAAAGAAAATGAAAATGAATTATGGACCAACTTCATTTATAGCAATATTTGTGATATGGAAAGGCCGGTTTACACCAAGATCAATAGCTATAATGTTTTAATAATTGTTCTAATTATATGAGAATAGAGAAATTGACACCACAATAATAATGACACAAAGGAACCATATCAGAGGAATCCAATCAGTCAATCAGAACCCATCTTACCTTAAAAAGCTTGAGCATTCGAATTGGTAGACAACATAACTGAAGCATGCGCTTATAATAATCAGAGCGTCATCATTCATTGGTGTGGGTGTAGTTAAATATAGTTATTGTTCTTGGTGTGAAAAGGCCAAAAAAAATTTGCCAACTCACCTTTGTTTTCTGACTTGTTTCTGCTCACTCTTCTCCACCTTGCTTGCGTTTCCAGCTCCAAACAGCCGACCCCAGCGGAGAACCTGTGCCGACCCATCCTCCCCTGCTCCTGGCTGGGCCTGAACCCCTTTAAAGGCATCCTGGCAGTCTGGCTGCTTTTCCTTACTCTTCTTCAGCTCAGTGAGGACTGATTCCGGAGGACTTCCCATCCACGATGGCTTCCCCTTTGTGACTTTGGTGGGTTCTGACAATGCTGATTGGTGGAGGACAGCATTGCCAATGCTATTAATATTGCTACTGCTGGTCCGACAATGTTCCACCTGTTCATCCATTGGTTGGATGGCCTCGGCCCCCTCAACCACACCTTCTCTAGGAGGTGGATGGCTTTGTCGGTGGCTCTCAACACCACCTTTCCTCCTCTTCTCCAACTTCACAAATTTTGAGCCCTCGGCGGAGTTGTCGATGTAAACCTGTGAACTTTGCATCAGCTGGTACCACCAGCCAGCTTGTCGGTTTCTCTGTTTGGCTCCATCTCCATCTCTTTCTCTCCTTTTCTCTTTCTCACAGTCTTCTCCAACTCCCTTCATCCTGCCAGCACACCACCCGCCACCATCTATCTGTCCTGCGTCACTCTTCCTCAAAAACTCTTTGCCAACTCCAGCCTCCTTATCCCGTGATTCACACTCTTCTCCCGCACTCCTCCGCCCATTACATTTCATTTTTAATGTCACTCCCTCTGTCCTAAGCCGGCTGTCTTCATCTCTCAACAAGAACCTTTCTCTCTGAGGCTGCATTCCCACGTCCTGTGCTCCAGACTCCAACGTTCCACAGCCTCGCATGAGCTGAAAGGTGGAGCAATCTGATTGGTCGAGGCCTTGGCGAGCACAGCACAGCTGTTCTTTGCGTCTCAGGTGTTCTTCCCCTTTCTGTAGCTGGTGTGGCTCAAATAGCAAGTCAAGGTCAAAGGGCAACAGTGAGAGCGGCTGAAGAAGGAGCTGCAACTCTTCAAACAGTGGCTGGCAGGCCCCTTGAGACAGGGGTAGGAAACCCCATGGGTGGTAGTGGGCTGCTACAATGTCTGAGGAACCATGCCAGAACAAAAAAAAAAGACACAGACGGCCACACAAAAAATGCTAAATATTATAATTATGCTGGCAATAGAGTATGAGAAACATAAAAATCTTGGCTCTACTTCATTTCTCTGACTAAAGCCAACTGCTCTTGAACAAGACACTAAAAATAAATGTTGCAGCATGAACGTTAAGTGCAGAAAGCATGGTCCTACCTTCATGTGTATAAATGTGATTGAACCAGAATTCCAGAGATCGCAAGCTGAAAAACATTGAAGGTGAGTGTTGTAAAATCATGGACCCAAAACTACTGAGGTAAAATGCAAATCTGTAACATTACTGGACAATAACAGACTTACACCAGAGGCAGGGGTCTTCAGTATCAAATATAATTTTTTCCATTATATTTGAGGTCGGTAAGATTATAATGTTTTTGAAAGAAGTCTGTTATGCTCACCAAGGCTTTTCCCCCCCAAAAGTACAGTAAAAACAGTTATGTTGTGAAATATTATTACACCATTAAAAACAGCTATTTTCTATTTCAATATATTTTAAAATATATTTTATTCCTGTGAATAACAGCTACATTTTCAGCCATTACTCCAGTCATCAATGGCAAATGGTCTTTCAGAAAGCATTCTAATATGCTGATGTAGCGCCTGCGTAGGATCATGCATGAGCGTTGGACGGTTTATGGCTTAAAAGACCCTTTTAGCCTTTTGACATTGGAGCTCAAGTAACATTTTGTTTGTTTGTTTGTTTGTTTTTTATAATCACATTTGAAAACGGTTGTGAATACGGATATGAAAATGTTGTATTTGTAATTAATGCAAATGTGTTTATCGAAAAAAAAAAATCAAACAATAATTTGGCTTCCCCCCTGCAGTACTGCTGCAAACCTCCTAGGGGTTGATGACCCCCTGTTGAAGACCCCTGGAAATCTGTTTTAAAGTGAAATACTACAAGTGCAACAACAAGGACCCTGGAAGTGATTACTGTACTCTGTATTGATCTCAAGAAGAAGAGTGACCACAGCGCAGAGTGAAACAGACAGATGAGAGAGTGAGAGAGAGATTAGTATGCTGCTGAATGAATAATTGAAAATAATGATCAAAGTGCTGTGCCTCTGACTATAATTTTAATAGGAGTGGAAAAGAGGAAGTTTGCACAGGAGCTGAGATGACTATGTCAAGGCCCATCAAAGCAAAACTGGAGCCTTTGATGACTTCTAAAGACTTCTCGAAACACACTACAGAGTTTTAGACCGCAAGATTTGAGTTTTTTTTTTTTAGACCTGGCTTGTTATAGTGCTAATAAAAAACATACGTCATCGATCTGTTCCAAAACCTAATGAGCTGCCTACCAAGACACCATTTTATGACACCAATGCTGTTCTAAAAGGTAGAAAATGACTAAATGTATTAAAAGTTAAAATGTTAAAATCTAAAGCAATACTGCATGTATCTTTCAGATAAAGCAATTTCAATATGCAAAGCACAGAAAATCATTTATATTATGTTTTTTCCCCCATCAAATATTACGAGTTGGCTTTGTATTGTTGGATTGATTAGACTATCAAATCTGAGAAAGAGCAATCTAATCTAATTAACAAAAAATTAACTTCATACATAGAATTTATTTATTCTTTTTTTCTTCTTCTTTTTTTGTTATATGCCATTGGCTAAATTCATGATCCAATACTGAATGTAAAGCTTCTTCTTCTTCTTCTTCTTCTTCATTGTTATCAAGATAAGATACTGCAGTACTACAATGCATTTGATGGTCAAATATATCTTTTGTTTTCATTTTAGAAACTCCTAGAAGATTAAAAAGCACATTCCGTTCGATCAATCAACTCAAGACATCTCACTCGGTCTGTTGTCTATCTCTCAGGGGACTGCTAAAATAAACGTAAGTTCTCAAACGGTGCTCTAAGACCTTTGAAATGTAAATAAATTTAAATTAAATAAAAAAAGCATCAAATAACACAGACCCTCCTTCTATGGAGATAGAATTGTTGCTTAATTCCAAATAAATAGATTACGATCCATAAATAAATGTAAAGAGATTAACAAACATTAAACATATTGACAAATAAATAGAATGAGAAAAAAACATTCACAAATATATATTTATGTCACAACCACAACTTTGCCTGTCATTTATTTGTGAATCGCGTCCTGTGCATTTGTAGATAGCTGCACACATTTGTGAATTGCATCCTGTGATTTTGCGAATAATGAAACATTTCTTCCGTCAAGACGTGCCGACAATCCACAAATACGTGGACTCCACCCACATTTCGCTGACCAATCGTAGCACGATATCGCTATAGCCAATCACGTTTTGCTTTACAATCAGGGCGGTCTCGTCCTGAGATAACTTCATTCATCTGCATTGGCTCAAATAGGTAATATAAGGGCCATAAAATGGGTACAGTAAAAGATGTTTAAAATTGGATTTCGTTAGACCATTAGACTATATATCATGCCAACCAAGCCACAGTATTTTATGTTCCGTGCCTTTGAGAATGCCGTGATGAAGTGTAGTAGGTTAGACTAGTGCATGTGCGCATTTACAGTGCTTTCTTTCACTGTATGATTCAGTTTATTAAAATACATTTCGAATGATCACAAAATTCAAGATATGGGAGCAGAAAATGAATAAATTTATATAATTTAATAAACTTTATATAAATATCATTTATATATCAATGTCGTTTCTTTTCTCCAAAAATCAACATGATTTCAAATGTGATATTAAAATTATGTGATATTAATATACAGTTCAATAAACAAAAAGTTAATTAAGAGACTTACGTTTTAGACACCATATTGCCTGTTTTTGCTCTATTTCCAATTTTAAACATCTTTTACTGTACCCATTTTATGGCCCTTATATGACCTATTTGAGCCAATGCAGAAGAACGAAGTTATCTCAGGACGAGACCCTGATTGTAAAGCAAAACGTGATTGGCTATAGCGAGATTGTGCTACGATTGGTCAGTGAAATGTGGCTGTTATCTGATTGGCTTGAGTAGACGGTGGGTGGAGTCCACGTATTTGTGGATTGTCGGCACGTCTTGACGCAAGAAATGTTTCACAATTCACAAATGCACGATGAATGCACATTCACAAATGCGTGCAGCTATCTACAAATGCACAGGACGCGATTCACAAATAAATGACAGGCAAAGTTGTGGTTGTAATAAATATATATTTGTGAATATGTTTTTTATTTGCAAATCTCATTTTATTTATTTGTGAATTTAATTCATGTTTATGAAACTTTAAGACTTATTTGTGGATCTCATTCTATTTATTTGTCAATATGTTTAATGTTTGTTAATCTCTTTACATTTATTTGTGGATCATAATCTATTTATTTGGAATTAAGCAACAATTCTATCTCCATACATTTCCAATTGAAAAGTTATATTCAACGAGAAAACCTAGATGGGAATCCAACAAATTGCACAATAAGGAATGTAAATTTAGAAATCAATTTTGATTTCATGTTGATGCTTTAACAAGCAAAAAATTTTGAAAAGTACAAAAATGTGCTTTCATAAGCAGTATGAAGACGAGCGTGATTATAAACAGTGAAAGGAAGAACAGGGAGATGAAAAGAGAGAAAAATGAAAGAAGCTTACTTCAGCAGGCCGAAGATGAAGGCATTGAGTCTCATACTGTGATTGGTCAGCTCAGAATACTGACTGACTTTAGAAAACAGACTGTGTAAAACCCGCGTAGAGGGACCTAGGACAGAAAGGATAAGCATAAATAATTTCCTTCATTCTCATTCATATAATAATAACCTTCATCACTCCTCTCATACCGAGTTGTGTGGAGGCCTCCACCACACTCCAGGGCTGGTTTTTGCGTTGTCCGATGATCAGGTCCAGTACATACGCTTTCAGTCCATCATGCAGTATCTCACGAATGGCAGGACAGAGGTACTTTAGAATAAGGTGACCCACATTCGGACTTACAGAGCTATTTCCCAATTTGGCCTGTAAGAGAGAGCGAAAGGGTACTGTCAACATTTTTACTGCCTTTAGTGAGGCACGTAAACTCAAGTATACAGAGTTTAACACTGTTATTTCAAATTTAATGTACCTTTACTCCTGCATCCCGACTGGTGCCAAAATGAGCCACTATCAGATCGACTGCTGTGTTTATGGCCTTCACCAAACCTAGCACATAAGGACATACAGAGGAGACAAAATAGAAAATATTCCATTATTTTATTTATCTAATCAAATTGAACTCTTACTAATAGTATATAGGCTACACACAAACACACGCTCAGTCATATGCTAATGCAGTTTAGAGGGCCTGAAGGGAATTGGCAGTATTTGAGTGGAAAACAAAAGGGGTCTTGTTTGATTGACATGAGGACCCAGTGGAAACAACATGAAGAGACATAGATTTCTTCTGCATTCTAGTCACTAGGGCACACATAATATTCACTGCAGTGTGTATGCAGTGCATTAAAACTATAATTCATTTAAGAGCTAAATATGAGCTCATATTAACCACATCAAGCTTTAAAGATGAGCTTGCTGAGGTTATTATACTGCTATGACTATATGGAGATTATAGATTAAATCCGGACATTGTTTAAACTGCGAAACAAGTCAGAGAGGCAAAAGTAGCAGCTTAAAATAATGGTTGACCCAAACAAATTTAAATTCCGTTTCATTTATTTACCTTCATGTTGTTCTAAATCTGTATGACTTTATTTCTTCTGTGGAATGCAGACAACTGTTTTTAAGAATCTTCACACTGCTCTTGCCTATACAACAAAAGCATACGGTGACAAGGGACTGGCCTCCAAAGGCCAAAAAAGGCAGCATTCTTTGGCATCAGAACACTTAGAATATAGTACATTAATCTAACCTTGTGGTCCCAATTTGTCTTCTTTGAAGTTTCACTATATTCCTGTTGTATGGGCAAGAGTACTGCAAGCATTTAGCAAAATTTTACTTTCTAATTCAGCTTCTTAGTCTTGTCCTTATCTAAACATGATGTCACTTTCCCATGCAAGACTAATTTAGTAATATGTGGTGTGAAGAACAATAATGTTGTCTAAAATGTATGAAGGCAATGATAAATTACAATAGCCATTTTAAAGCTTCACCATGTTACTCACAATGAACAAGAACAATTGACCAAGGATCACTAACAACAGCAAACTTCTTGGGAATCACCAGTTTTAGAAACAAAGAAAATTTGATTTATTTGTCCATCCACTCTGATAAGATGTCCTGCATTCATATGTAAACTGGTGCCTTGAACCACATTCATCCACAGAGGAGCAGAGCTGAAGCACAACCAAAACAATAGTCTTCCCACAAGATACTTGCAGTTTTATTTTTTAACTTCTAGATGTTACATGCTAATATTTAAAAACTCAAACTCATTTGTAAGTGACTTTCAATAAACGTGTCTGATAAATGAATAAATGTAAATCTAAATATCTAGGAGTGAGGTTAACTTAAAAGGGGGGTCTAATGCTATTACATGCATTCTGAGTTATTTACACTGTTAAAGAGTTGGATTCTCGCGCTAAACATGGTCAAAGTTTCAAAAAACGATTTGGACGTATGACGGAGTATTTCTGTGCCAAATACACTCCTTCCAGGTTCGAATAAGTTTTAGAGAAAATTTTCAATTCCTTGTATGGGCACTTTCTGTGTTTTGTTGGCAATCGGCACATAAGTGCTCACGACTCTTTAGCTCTGGCCATGGCATGCCTCCAGGAGCTCGGAGAGAATCGTAAAGCTGTATTTTTATTTTATAAATCTGATAAAGCTAAAGACTCTTTGGAGATATGAATGATGCAATACTACTCTACAGGTACTAACGATTGACATGAGATTGGCATAAACTGTGTGTTATGTCCCCTTTAAGAACTGATATGATATTTAACACATGCTGTGCCACTGTTAGTGTTACTACACAGAGAAAAAAAAAATCACACACCTCTCTTCTGCAACAGGTCTATAGAGATGGATTCATCAGTATTAGCATCAGGAGATAAGCAGAATTCTTCTGGGGGGCGCTCTGTCTGAGAGAAATAATCCGGCAGGAAGTCACTGTAGCACTGCGGCAGTTGCCTCAATGACTGCCCTATAAACAAAAACAACATCAGTCAGATAAATGCAAGCCTACAACAAATATAGACACTGCTAGACAAAACAAGCTGGTGATGACAGACAAAAGATATGGTCGTTGTCACACTTAAGTGTTCACTAACTACATTTACTAACTACCATATTGGTCCGAATATAAGACGACCCTGATTATAAGACGACCCCCTTTTTCCAGATGTACCTTTTGGAAAAAGGCTTTTTAAAAAACAAATCTTGTTTTTTCTCAGTAAAACACATTTTGTCTTCAATTATTTTCATATTGTATATTTTTCCTATTTTCATTTTTGTTTTGAAAGTATGGTAAAAACTGGTAAAATGTACCAACAATCACATTTAAAAAATATACACTTTTTGATATACCATTAAAAAAAATAAAAATAAAACAGGTAGCCCATCTGATTTAGGACCTTTAGGCTATCCATCTAATAGTAGCCTACCAAAATCTTATTAACAGTAGAAGTTAAATCTTACTGTAGACTTTAAAAATGGGTACTGTCTTACGTTTTAAAATCATAAAGGGAGTTTGGTCCCATCAGGCTAATGTGACAGTCACGACTCATGCAGCTGTAAGGTTTTCTTTTGTTTTTACTCGTGATCTTTACAACACGCATTACATTACGTATTTCATGGCACACTCGTTTTATGCGTATTTGGCGCCACCTATTGTTGTGGGTGTATTATTGACATGTCAAAGTATAGACCCTGAATATAAGACGACCACGTTTTTTCAGATGTATTTCTAAGAAAAAAACATTGTCTTATATTCGGGTCAATACGGTATAAACAAAATGATTCCACCCCAGCCCCCTTTCTGTCTCTTTCCCCTCAACCCCTGTTGGGTGATAGAAATTGGTTCAGCACCATTAAGTCTGCCGAAGCTGAGTGGTTGATTGGTGGGAGAGAAATCAAACACATTGCGTCGCATGACTCGAGTTCCAGGTCTCTTGGTTTCCAAAGCACAAGAGAAAGAATGAGGGCCGTTTTTACCACGCTCCACACCCAGAGGGTTCTTGCGCCTGTACTCTCTCCATTTGAGTGCCTGCGGGGAGAGGTGGTGCACTGGGGGCAAAATGGAAGAAAAAGGGGATGGTGGCAAAGAATGGACGGAATACGAAAAGAAAAAAAAAGAAGTATTGGTGAATGGATGGTAAGATGAATGAACATACATACACAGGGAAAAGTAGTAAAAGGGAAAGAGGGAACCGTCAGAAGGGTAAGATAATATTGTGGAAATGTCAAAGTGATGCAATGGAAAAAACGGGCAGAAGGGGAAACAGGAGGGATAGAAAAGAGAAATTGTTAGCAGTATTTAAAGGAAGGTGTAAGTATGGAAGCTAAGGATTTGTTCAGATAGGCAGCCAATATACGATTGTTTTGACCTATCCAACTCAAATCAGAAAAAAAGATTTGTATAAACTCAAGGCAAAACCACGTTAATGTTTTTTTTTTCTTTAAGAGCAGAAAAAATTATTATAAAGTCATAAACAACACACAGCAGTCTCTAGAACTGTGAATTCACTAATTTTTTCTCCAATCCTACCATTAGGCTGTTGCGGTGTCACACATGCCGGTAAAACCTTCACTGGCTCTTCCTGTGGCGCTGGTTCCAACGGTCCACGAGGACTGAGACCTGAGCTGGGTAGCGTCGGCAAATTGCCACGGTGGAAACAGTGATTTCTAGTGGGCAATGCAGGCATCAGCAGACTCTGCTTCATCAGCGGAGGTGGAGGCGGTGTTGGAGGTAAGGGGGCAAGTTTAGGCGTCTCTGTACATATGGCCATTCCAGTTGGGGTATGCTGGGGCAGAAGACCTGCAGAGATCGGGCAAGAGAGGGAACGTGGTGGCCTCGGACCACCAGGGGTCGGAGTGCACGTCGAGCAGGTTCCAGAAGAGGTGGGTGCAACTTCGAGGCGAATTGGGGAATAGCTGCCCAGTGGGGATGGCCGCACTGTTGTAGGTGCATTGGAGGAGCCGTGAGGTGGCCTACGATCTTCTTCCGAGTCATCTTCACCTCCCTCAGACACTGCAGCCCCTCGAGCCTGCATTTGGCTGATGTATCCGTCCAAAAGAGGAAGGAGAGGCTTCGTCTGGGGTTTTCCAAACTGGTGCTGGAAAGTGAAAGGCTGAATGGGTAATGAGGTCGGACGTTGATCTTTGCTATAGCGAAATACAACTGGAGAGGAGTCTGTGGAGCTAGACAGGCCACCTAGGGGGAAGAAAGACAAGAGACAGAGATGAGAAAAGAGGGTTTGGAGAGAAAATAAGACAGATGAAGATTAAGAACAAAATTAGAAATTTAAACCTGAGACTGTGGCAGAGTATCATTCAATTCAGTAATGCAGGCATTAACAATATCTAATGCTTCATAAATCATTATAAATTAAATGAATTGACATGATGCATATAATTATAATATGAAGCTAATTATTTTATGTAAATTTAAACCAGAAAGGCTATGGCAATGACACAGCATTTTAAAACAGCTGGAATAAAACCTAGCAATAGTAATAGCAACAACAACAGGGTCTTATTATGAAACTGAAACAAAATCATACATAAAATAAAAATCATACAACTTTGTCAAAAGCATACCTTAAAACACTGCTCCAAAAACTTAATGACCAACAGAGGTACATAAAGAGCCAGGACATTATTACCAAAAAACAGCCTGTTTAAGAAGCTCCTCTGTGTACACCTCTGGGTGTGTGTTGCGTGTGCTCTGACGGGCACACAGTGTGTGCGAAACGACACTCGGCTATTGAGTAAACTGTCTGCTCCACATGCCTGAGTACTCATATGTCAGAGCTCTTAGTACACGGCAGTATCCAGTCACAGCCAGCAGGGGCAGCTCAGCACTAAGCACAGAGAGAACTAACAAGCATTCCAGTAACAAAAGCTAACCTTTCTGTTGATCAAACTCTGCCCATTTATTTTGCTTTGTCAAATCTCCTAACCTAAGTATCAAACTTTATCATGTAACTCTTGCACGGTCTGTGCTACATATATGAATGACACCTCACATAATGCAGCTGGAAGACGACAGATGTGTTATTACTAATCTCATCGGATTTGAGCTTACCTGGCTGGCAAACAATAAAAAAGCCATAGACATGCATAAAAGAATATTTTACCCAAAAATTCTGTCATATTTAATTTACCATTATGTTGTTTAAATCCCACATAACATTTATTCCTCCACAAAAAAAATAAAAGGGAAATATTTGGAGATATTTTTTTTGTATTCCATAGAAGAAAGTCATATGGATTTGGAATGACATGGGTAAGTAAAGGATGACTGAATTTATTTTTGGGTCCAAAGCATACAGTATCCAGTAAAGTTTTTTTGTTTTGACTTGGACCAAAATAAGGAACAACGCAGAACTTCCTAGCAACAGTCTAGCAACCACACAGTAACTGCAGATCAATGTGCAGAAAACACTCTTTAACATCATCCTAGCAAGTAACTGCTCCAAGAGGAAAGAGTGGTACCTTTTAGCAGAAGCTAAACAAATTAGCTTGGAAAATAAAACAAACAAATCATGCTAAGGGAAATCACTGAGAACACACACCGTTTACTAGCTAGGTTTGAAATGCTAGAGAAATAAAATGATGAAAATCTAATTGTCACAACCCAACCAACACATAGTCAAGAAGAGTTTCAAAATGCAGTCAGGCTTCTGGGTGCTAGGCTGCACAATAACATGATTCAAACACAAAAGAAGTCAATCCACAAAATAAACCAGCTTTTACAAGTAACACAATTTAACCATCCTCTTTTTAGAAGATAATGTGTTACCTTCTGCTTTGGTTCGAGCCCGTTTTCCTGCTCCCCCTGGTGATTCTCGCAGCGGTGTACTCCGAGATCTATGCGGGGAGGACAAATCACAGCTCCCTTGACTATGGCATCGAGTGAGTGGTGGCAAACTGTGGCTCTGACCCTGTGGAAGGTCTTCCAGGATGGGCGAGAACTCTCCAGATGAGTGAGAGTTCATGGATGTGGCCTCCATTCCGCCCCTCTGTGATGGTGATCCTCCGGTTCTCCTCTTATTCCTCGCTATTTCCGCAAAAGAAGTGACACGTGGTGGAGGTGGCGGGCTAGGGGCTGCACTCTCACTGAGCCGAACAGGGCAGCTGAGCATGCGCTCCAAGGACCCAAGGCGAGGAGATGGTGACTTGTCTAGGTTCCGATCGTAGCTGCGAGAACGAGGTCGACCGCTCCCTGAAGCACCAACTGAATTGCAGGTTGTTGTAGGTGGGGAGATGTTGATATACACCTGCCCCTCAATTACATTCTCACGGGTAGATTCAATCTCACATGAATCCTTTTCTTCATTCTGGCAAAAGAAAAAGAAAAGAATGTAAAGGATGTAACAAGCTAGAAGAAAAATAAGAAGGTACAATGTACATATTGCTAAGGAGTACAGAATGAGTAAAGGCACAAAATGCTAAATACAAGCTAACACCAAATGAAGCAAATAATATAACACCTCTGCATCTTCCTCTTCTTCATCCTCTTTCATTTGTTGGAATAGGTAGTACTCTGCTGGCTGAGTGGGACTTCCTTTGCTGTGCTCATCTGAGCAGCTTGTGACCGATGATCCCGCTGGACTGGGAGAGGACTGGGAAGAAAGGTCACATGTCACCAGCTTGTAGTAATTCTGAGTTGCTACAACCAAGCGAGCTTGGCTTTGAAGACACGAGATGAGTTCACTGGCAGAGGTTTCAACGGAGGACAGTGCCTCACTTCCAAGAAGGTTGTGGTATGAGTTACAGTTGGCATCTAGTTCCATATTGGCACCTTGTGGCTGAGATACAGAAGAAGAGTTTGCATGTTCTTGAGTGGCCGAAGGATGCTGAGCGGGTTCAATCGGGGAGGTGTGTAAGTCCAGGTAGAAAGCTCCACGTCCACTGCTACATTCTGTTCCGCACATCCCAACAAGCTCAGACACAGATGAGGCACAGGATTGCTCGACTGAACTGTTGATATTGAGTGACTGTTTGGCTGGGACAACATTGTTCATCTTGTTGTAAATCGTGCTGAAGTTAACCAGCACTCCATCTGAGCTATTGCAGGAGGAATCACTGCCGTAGCCCTGGTGACACTCAGAAAATGATTCGTGAAAAGGTTCAGGGTATGGCTGAGAAAGGCCGCAACAGGAGCAATGTGGTGCTGCAAGACTGGAACACTCTGAGCTTCCTCTGCCACCCTGCATGGACTGGTCTTCATAATCATCATCCTCACCCCATTCTTGCTCACCACAGTCCATTGAAAGGGTGGAACCACTGCTTCCGTGGCGCCGCTGGCTATCTAATCTCAGCAAGTTCAGTCCCTCCAAGTGAGTAGACAAATCGAAAGTCCCACCTATTGTGTGGTCTCTGTGCTCTGCTTCCCCACTAGGCCCATGTATGGAACTCCACTGTTTTTCTGTAGACCCATGCAAGAGAAAAGGTTCAACGGTGAACCCAATGTCATGCAGGTGGAAAGACGGCAAGTCTTCATTTGCAAGTGCTGCATTTGAGATTTCATGCAAATTTCCATGCAGGTGAAAAGAGGAGTCTTCCAAATATCCATTCAGATTGTCTTCATCCTCATCATCCTCATCTTCAGTGTTGAGCAGAAAGGGGTTACGTCTCGAGTTCAGCTGTTCACGTGTCTTCATCTGCAAGCCTTGAGCTTGATCTTCAGAATTGCTTGAGGTGAAAGAGGAAGTGTCACTTGCCATACTCCCTTCTCTCCCACCTCTTCCTTGTTTCTGCCCTCCTCTAATTCCTCCATCCCCAAAAGTATCACTAGAGCTAAGGCTGCTGCTCGATGTCTGTATGAGGCTGCTGTACACCAATGCCTCCCGCTGAAGAATATCTCTCTCAGGTAGGGAGGTAGTCCGGCTCAATCCCAGATTCTCTGGGCAGCTGAAAGGATTACTGTTCCTTTTCAATGGACTACCACAGTATTGTCGTGAGCTTGAAACCTGGCAGTGAACAAGTGGAACGTGGTGGACAATAAGAGTCTCCCCGGTTAGCTTAGGTGGACTGTCCATCTTCTCCTAGTGGGTGAGGATGAAGAATATTTGGATATTTGCAGAATGTGGTTTTCCGAAGACTTTAGTTCACACGTCCAATGCCAATCCGTGGTTTTGGGAAGTGAGAAACGTTAAAGAAAAGGTTAAAGAGGATCTCTTGGCTGAAGGTAAACATCTGGAAAAAAGACAGAAGACAGGACTCAGTTTTAAATTAGCTTCACGTAAAACAAAGATATTCAGTGTTCATAAGTGGAAAAGGGCATTTTAGTTGGGCATCTCATTGTATAAACATATCATTTTCAACAAAGTTACATGTTACATAACAAAAACATGATCTACAGGGACAAATCATGAGTGCCAAAAATAGGCAAAAAGAAACCTAAAGACAAACTAACAAATGAATAATTAACTAAATCCAGTTTACAGGCTCCTTAATCTGCTCACAGTCTATAGATGATAATGTATTCGGAATGTAGACAATCGATGAATAAACTGGTACACAGGTAAATACATAATTTACCATTTTAATTGATAGTTAATATAAATGAAATACATTTAAACCAACACAAAAATTCTCAAACTTACAGGAGTCCATGAAGGAAACTAAGAGTGGATTACGAGAGCTGACTAATGATTACATATATACTGGCCTAGTGATTAATTAAACAATATCTTCGAAGCATGTTTTTCTATCATTTTTATTTTGATTAATATTTTATATCGACCAAACACAGGCACTGTCAAGGCAATCACCTAAAACTACAAGAAAAAAGAGAATAAATTAGGGCTGCACAATATATCGTTTCCGCATCGAAATCGCTATGTGCGCATCCGCGATAGTCACATCGCAGGATGTGCAAGGTTTCGTATACTGATCGTTATATTTATACTGATTGTTTTCTTTGCTCACACACAGACACGGTGTCTACACCGGACGCCACAGCTGTACAGAGATACCCATTTTAAATACTTTTAGTAGTAGAGCTACTGCAAGCGATTTTCAGTGCTGGAAATCCGTTTATCCTTTGTTGAAACTTCCGAGTCGTCGTGGAGAGCGCAGGTCACGGTTGCTTACCAACGGCAGATGCCACGAAAGCGCAAGCTCCCGAGCACTTTGGAAAGAAGGAGAAAGCGGCGCGACTGGCGTTTTTTTAGGCACGACATGTGAACGGCCCCAAAGTCTGTCTACACTGGACGCGACAAAGCGACCGTTGCCAATAATTTGAACTTTGTGTCTGTCAGTACTTTGTCGTGCCGCGCCGCATCCAGTGTAGACAGCATCACTGATTATATGGGTTCTATTGTATTTTGTCGCGCCGCGCCGCTCGCGTCTGGTGTAGACAC